GCTTGATGACCATTCTGTGTGTAAATAAGGTATCCCCAATTTTTGCACTCATAGATCAAACTCTAAATGTCGTCTAATAAGTTTTCTCTCTCCTCTGTAGATATGGGACACAGCTGGGCAAGAGCGGTTCCAGTCACTTGGTGTGGCCTTCTACCGGGGGGCGGACTGCTGCGTTTTGGTGTTCGATGTCACTGCACCCAACACGTTCAAAACCTTGGACAGCTGGAGAGATGAATTCCTCATTCAGGCCAGTCCACGAGACCCTGAAAACTTTCCCTTCGTCGTCTTGGGAAATAAGATAGACCTTGAAAACAGACAAGTAAGATTTTATTTTTTTTCTAGTCCATGACATAAACACGGCCGAGAGCTCTGAGAAGGCAGGGAAGCTGGTTAGGCTGAGCTTTGAGTCAACTGCTGGGAGGAAGAAGCTGGTTGAGTTGAGATGCAAACTCACTGCTGGAAGGGAGGAGCCGACATGCGGAGTCCCTACTGCAAGGAGAGAGCAGGGTGAGCTGAGATGATGAATCGCTGCTGGGAGAGCTGAGCTGCTGAGTCACTGATGGGAGGGGGGAGCTGAACTGCTGAGTTACTGTTTGGAGGGTATGGAAGGGTGAGTTGAACCTCTACAACAGTGGGGTTGCTCTACTAAAGGCAAATGGCTGTTCACATTGCAAGGACTTTTTTTAGATCCGGTAAGCCTTGCTGACTTTCATGCAAAGTGAAGTTTACCATATTCGCTAAGGTAAGGGAAAATTCCCTTGCAAGATGAATAGCCTATTTTCCTTTAGTAAATCAACCCCAATGACTTCAGTGCTACAGTTGTGAACTTTGTGGATGTATTGCTTCACAGTGCCTGCAGCTACCGAGGTCAATGAGGACTTCTTTTTTTTTTTTTTAAGCTCAGTTGTCACTTTGTTAAGAATATGTTTTTAATACTTGTATGTCCCTGACCTCGCTAAAGATTGCCTTTAGAGTCCTGTGAAGACAGTGTCTGAGCTTAAAGGAGAGCGGAAATCACTCATCATAGTTCGAGCCGACGTCTGCCATTGAAATTGTCACACATCGGCTCAATAGATCAGGAAGTGAGCGAACACATACCGTCGCTCGCTCGCTCACTTCTCGATCCTGTCCCTGCAGAGAGCCGTGACTGTCAGTTACTGCACCCCGCAGGGATTCCCCCCCCTCTCTGATCCTCCAGCACTGACCTGGAGGAACGAACAGGTTAGGGGGCGGGCACAGCTGGCTCTGCCTCTAGATAGGTAGAGCCCCCTGTTAATCAGCCAACTGGGTGGATCTCGACAGTATTGTCGGGATCCATCCCGACTGCAGCGCAGAGCAATAGCCCGCTATATACTGAGCTTTGGATCACGGGAGGAGGTTAGTATATGTCCTCCCCTGACCCTACAGAAAACTATGGAATAAAAGGGTTACCACATAATTCTCTTAAGTTCCCTGGTGTTCAGGCCCTGTCATGGTCTTGTGTTTTACTTCCTGCAGCCTGGGCTTCCCTAAGCAGATGAGAGAAGATCTCAAACAAAGCATCTTATTGATCAGGGTTGTCCAAATACTTTTTAGCCATATGATCACATCTCTTATCATTGCTGTGCCCTTCTCCACACAGGTCACCACAAAGCGAGCACAGGTCTGGTGTCATAGCAAAAACAACATCCCGTACTTTGAAACCAGTGCTAAAGAGGCTATCAACGTGGAGCAGGCTTTCCAGACCATTGCACGGAATGCACTTAAACAGGTAAGAAGCGTATGCCGGGCTTTATACTTCCTGGCTTTCGTTTGGTTGAGATCAACTTAAAGAAACTTCTGCTCCAGAGATAGCTCTGCACAGTTTGTAATTCCTCTGCGCAGAGCTCCCTCTCATTACATCACTTTGATATCATCGATTTTGCAGTGTTCCGATGCACTTAAACATATCACAATACAATCTTCTATACTCATCAAGAGACGGAGGCGGCTGATGTGTAGAAGTTTGCATGCCGTGGCTGAGGCCATAATGATTAAAAGGGATTTTTATCTTCTTTGCTCCGTGTCCCATCTGGTTGAGTCATTATAGAAGAATGAAGTTCTGCAGCAAAGTGAAAACTGGAAATTATCATGAATGTGCCGAGATATTGGCAGCAGCATTTTAAGGTGGAAGTAAAGAAAACCGAATCAATCATGCTTCATAAAGTTTTAAAGATTTATAAAAACTTTTACTTTTTTAGGGATACAGCAGTTGCTATCGGCAACCATTTCTCTTGCCGTCTATAGGAAGAGGCTCCTCTCCTGAATATAGCAGAAGGTCTCTCACACGGTGATCAGCAGGCTTCTACAGGGGTTATTTGCATGAACTCTGGTCTTAAAGGAGAGCTATTGGGAGAGTAAAATTTTCTCTTCCGGATACTGTGAGCCGGTGTGTGACACTGCAGCTGTCACATGCCCGTTGTATAGATCGAGAGCTGAGCGATCACAAATTTGCTGATCATTCAGCTCACTGTCTTCTCCCTGCAGAGAGCGGTGACTGTCCTCCATGCAGGAGTTCCCCTCTCTCTCCGTTCCTCCAGCACTCACTGGAGGGGCAGACGGGAGGGGGCGGGCACATCTGGCTCTAGAGAGGCGGAGCCAGCTGTCAATCAGGCAGCTAGCTGGGTGGATCCCAACAATTTTGTCTCTTTCCCTGCTGCATCGCGGCTCTGCGCTGTCAGCTTATAGTGGGCAGTAGCCCGCTATAAGTTGAGTTTGGTTCACAAGAGTACATTAGTTATGCCCTCCTGTGACCCAAAACAGAAGTAAAGCCAAAAAAGGTCTTTTTATCTGGGCTCCAAGCACACCTAAACACAAAAATTCTATATATTGCAGCTTACCAGCCCTTAGATATGGTGGCTGCATGAGTTTTTTTTTTGGTTTTTTTGGGGGGTTTTTTCAAGCTGGGGAAAATACCGGTTGATACCCAGAAATGGAAGTATCGGGGATTCCCTTGTAGCATCGGAGAAGGCTCGGGACCAGCTAGTACAGTGGTGGCGAACCAGGGCACTCCAGCTGTGCCAAAACTACAAATCCCAACGTGCATCTGCTGCTGGGAGTTATGTCTGTGGCTGTCGGAGACTTGCAATGCCTCATGGGACCTGTAGTTCCAAAACAGCTGGAGGGCCAAGGTTCGCCACCACTGAGCTAGTATATGCAGGAGTGGGTGTTGAATTGAATGAGCAAAACACAGGTTCACTTTACAGAGAGATCTCAGTGGAATTCAACATCTTCTCACTTTTTATTCTCTTTTTCTCCAATAGGAAACAGAGGTGGAGCTCTACAACGAATTCCCAGAGCCCATTAAACTGGACAAGAACGACCGGTCAAAGGGCTCGGCAGAGAGCTGCAGCTGCTGAGAGGGAGAGGAAGGCGACAGCAGAGCCCTTCACTAACAGATATCACACTTAGGCCTTCGAACACGAAACCCTCTCTCTTCCCTGCCCAGAGTGTCAAGGAATAAATATTAATCTCCTGCACCCTCTCCAGCTCCCAGGCACCGGTCCAAAAATTAAAAAAAAAAAAGCAAAAAAACAAACAAAACCGAAACCAACACTTGTATTATAAGCAGAACAGCCATTGTTTTTTTTTTTTCTCACCCCACTTCCTGTGGACTACTCGACCTTGTCTGGTTAACCCCTCTGTAGCCAAGAGGCCTGTAACCCCTCCCATCCTTGGCTTTGCAGGCCCCTTTGGGGACAGAGCGGTTAACATTTACATACTGTTTGAACGTTAATTTTTGTGTCTTGCGGAGAGACAGGTTTTCTTTGTGACTTTTTTTTTGTTTTCCTTTTTACAGTTTTTTGTGTATAATTAACCTATTTTTCATGACTTTAAATAATCCCTTTTTAATTGTTCCGTGTCCCGTTGGAAGGCTCTAATCAGGCTGCATATCCTGTGATAGGCAGAGGTAGGTAACCTGCAACCACGCCGCTGCTGGCGGGCGCATTAACTTCTGCTGCAGCACCCTGGGACTTTTAGGCCTTGCGCACACGCAGGCTTCAGTTTGTATCGGAGCATTGTGTACAGCAAAGCCATTGCAGAGCTTCCAGGTAAGCTTCGAGCAGCTTTTTGTTAAAGCCTTTAAAGAACCAATCAGCTCCAGTTTGGTAAAACACAAATCTTATTGGTAGTCGTGACTGTCGCTTTAAACGAGCTGCAACACTACTTAAACCTAATTAAAAGCCTGCTAGCTGCTTGTTTAAAGTGACAGCGCACCCATTAAGATCTGTGTTAACATCCCCATAGGCTGAAGGTTTCTTTAAAGGCCTCAACAAAGCTTCTGGAAACTTGCTGACTTTCTTACAAAATGCTTTGTGGAGTCTTGCCATACACCCGGCTCTTCCTCAGGCGGACGCCGCGCGCGCCAGGCTTCGGCCCGTCTTCGGCATAGGCGCGCCAGGTTGCCTACGTGCGCCGTTCTCCTTTTTTTTTGCAAGCTCAGCACCCGGTCTCCACTAGGTTTTTTTTTGCGTCTTGTACGCATCTGTTATTGCTTGTTTACTTTTAAACTAATCATTACTTTTACAGACTCCATGTATTATGTAACGCTTCTTTAGGGCGGAAAAAAAAAAGTGAAAAATCATATAGAACATGTTAATATATGCAACCAATTAAAATGTATAAATTAGTGTAAGATTATTGTTTTTTTTTCTTTTTGATTGAAGTATTGGAGCACAGGTATTTAGACAGTAAAGGACATGTATTGTATTATGTTTTGCGTACTTTGCCTGCAAATGTTCGGCCGGTAAAAAAAAAAAGAAAACGCAGCTTTTAGGCACTGTAGAAAGTTCTGGCGATTGGGTAAAGCGCACCAGTCTCCTAGACTCGCCGGTGGTGGCCGTTTTCCAAATACAAAATGGTTGATGCGCCGTAAGAAGGGGGCCGCTGCTTTTTTTGTTTTTTAAAAGAGTTAGTTATAACCCGCTCCGTTCTTCATTTCATTATATGAGCTGTCTTTAGCTCCTTCATGACTTCATTTGGTCTGTGGTGTGCATTACTGGACTCTATTATATGTCTCAGTACACTTATTAAGTCGTCGTGGGCACAGTGGGGGAGATAAAGGCTTTCCTGGAAAGGGTTAACCTCTTCATTTACTTAGGGGGATGGCTCTTCATTGACTTGCTGCCCTGGGCTCTCTTGTAGGTTGCCCCTGCTGGCCTCCATTCCAGATATGCTAGTTGCCGGGCTGTCACTTGCCTCCTCCAGTATTAACGCTTTGAGTCTCTGGCCTGGAACAGGTATGGGTTGAGTGCAATCAGAACGCACAATCCTTACTTGCAGCGGGTGAGTGCCTCAGAATGGACTGAAGTCAGGATCGGCGTGACAGTCGCATGACTGCACTTTTTTTGTAATCGGACATCTGCCGCGGCAGCTTGCAGATTTTTCAGGACCTGGCTTGTTTTAGGCCCAAATGAGCATTCGGGTTTAATTGGCTAAATGCATTCCTGGTGCATTCAAGTCAAGGTGTGCACAATCTTTCTTCAGCCACGGCCCGAATCGAAAAGCCCGTTCCCTGGCAGCATGCAGCGGAGATGGGGACCCTTGCTCTCTTCGTGGAAGCAGCAGCATCTCTGCAAGAGTTCTGACAAGTCAAGTTCTGAGTCAGAGCAGGCATGAGCTTTGCTGATTGCAGAGCTGGAGGGTGTGCTGGAAGTCTGCAGAGAGACCACTGCTTCTGCACAGAGGATCCCACTCTGCGGCATGCTGGCAAGGGACGGGCTTTTCTATTGGGGTTGTGGCTGCTCTTGAAATAACAAAAGCAAATTGAACACCCTTTAGTATTATTGCATCTGCAATGTATTTATTGATTTGATGTACACAGAGTTCAACTGGCTT